GCAATTGCTGAGTTCACATTTGCCACATGAGTATTGGGCGGAATCGTTACTGTGTTTTTGTTACAGTTGGATGAGAAAGGTTTCAAAAGGTTTGGGAAGTTCTCCTTTTGAAAAGCTATTCCACAGAAAACCTTCTGTTGCCCATTTTAAGGTTTTTGGGTCTCATGTGAAGACTGAAGCTCCAGGTGGAGTAAAAAATGCTAGAGGCATTTTTGTGGGTTATGAAAAGGGTCTCTACAGAGTGATTTTGTCTGAATCTGGTCAGGTGGTTCTCACAAAATTTCTAGAGAGTGCTCCTGAACAGGAGAGAGTAATTGTTCACACATTTCCCACTGAGGACAATTCTGATGATGATGATGATTTTACTGATTACAGTGGTACTGAGAGTGACAGTGATAGCTCAAAGAGCTCAGTTGACACAATCATTGAGAGGAAATCTCACACAATGGATAGACCTTCACAGGTGAAGGGTGAACCACTGTTTACTATTGGAACTGGTTCTCCAAAGAGTCCTGAGACTGAACCAGTAAGCAGAGAGGATCAGCACCTTATACGCAGGTCCGAGAGAGTTACAAAGGGCGTACCACCCAAGAGGTATTCAAAAGAGTTTGCTAACTCAGCTGTAGCATGTGTTACTATTGTTGACAACTCAAGACAGGTTAAAGGTGTGTCTAAGTCAGAGACAAAGACACAACAGGGAGTTGCTAAGCGTAACACTACATTCCCTAGCCAAGGAAATGCAGATGCACTCATTCCTTGGAAGACAGACAACCAGAGAGGTACACTGGGGAAACCAGTGGCGGGTAGTTCCAAGGGTGGAACTGAAACAACAGGGGAGTGTTATATGTATAACAACTGTTTGTTTTCTTCTCTGGATCACGCTTTGCTTGCAGCGCACATTGATTCATATGGGGAGTATGTTACGATATAGAAGCAATGCGGCCGCGAGCTGGTAGCTTGAAAGCAAAACATAATGGGAATGTTGGGACTGTTCCGTGGGAAACAGAGGGACAGTCAATTCACAGTGCAGAGGGCACCGGAATTAGCTCAGAGTGTAATATGAGCTGTACAGGAAGTACAGGATGAGTTTGTCTCTCGACTGCTGGAGCTTGAAGAGAGCAGTCATGATTTTTGTAACGCTGCAAAGACAGAAATAAAGGAATGTAAATACGTTTCTGTCTATCTCTTTCCCCTGCCTGGGGGGGCAGGAAAGAGAGGGTGTGTTCTTCTCACTCTGAGAAGGATCGCCTATCGCGACCTCTGCTTGGATCCTGCTGGGGAATGCAGACAGGGAGGTCAACAGGAGATCAAGCCGGGTGCCTGGAGAGTGGCCAGTTTCTCCTGATAAAGGCTTGATTCCCAACAGCTAGTACAAGTAGATAAATAGATACCGCTCTGGCGGGAAGGTAAACTGTGTTTCTGTGTGCTGCTCTGGTTCGCTAGAAGCGGCTTAGTCATGCTGGCCACATGACTAGATCAGCTGTCTGCGGACAAACGCTGGCTCCCTCAGCCTATAGAGTTAGATGAGCACCGCAACCCCAGAGTCAGGGGTATTTTTACCTTTATGCAGATTATTACATAGACTTCCATGTTTATACAAAGTTTTGATATATATTCTCCTATGGAAAAGGGCTATAATGCCCCCAAATGCATTTTTGCAATTCTGGCAATTTGCAGCCTTTCAAAAATTACTTTTTCTGTGCCTCTTTTTATAGTTTCCTTTTTGGATTTTAGTTGATGTGATTTAATATTTCTATTGTGCTTTCTCAACAACAATGCTGAGCTCAGAGTGGCTCGTAACAATAACAATAGCATAAAAAATGAGCAAGCATTTAAATATCCATTATCATATCAAAAACACTGTATAAGGCAAAAACAAACGGGCACTCAGCAAACAATACAATTCAATGCAGACTGATAATGATTCAGAAATGGCTGGTTTCCCCCTGGTAGCCTCTTCTTTTGCGATCCCAATCTCAGCCATCATTTTCTAACCTAGCATGGGAGTTTATTGATCTCTGGGTGTTATGTGTGAAGGTTTGGCCAGAACCTGCATTCTCTCAGCTGGAGCTTTTAGCAAAGCAAATTAGTTTATGCATAGATTTGAGGAAGCACAACACTATTGCTTCCTTGCATGGGGGAAGGAAGCGCAAAGTGCCATAAATCTGTGCTGTGAAGCACAAAATGAGGGGGGGAGAGAGAGAGGAAAGCTCAGGCAGAGAGAAGATGAGAGACGAGTGGGATTTGGTTGTTTCAGTACAGTGATATAACCTAGATATTTTGAACATCCTTCCTGAGGTGAAAAGCTTTTTAAATGTGTGAGACAGTCATTTCCAGTTCACAATTATGAAAGCCTTTTGAACAGCAATGTGTTAGGAATAAAGGTGGCATTTCTTATTCACAAGATGAAAGGGGTTAATGACATTATAAAAGGAAGGAACGTCATCTGTATGTAAATACAATGTGTAGGCATAACTTCCCGGCCTTCAGATAACAGGATGAAATGGGGGGGGGGTGTATGTGGAGATCTTGCTGTGTGGCATAATGCCTTTGATCACGCAAGAGCTGTACTAAAATGAGAGGGGCTATCGCTGACTCTCTGGAGATGGCGTCCTTCTGGCCTTGATGCATTCACCCCGATCCCATATCTCTGCAGAATGGGAATGACTACTAAAGGGAAATGTATCAAACCAGCTTTATAGGGCCAAAACCATAGCTAAAATATCTAAGATAATTCAAGTACCCATGAGATACTTTTAAAGTTTGCACCTATGAGGCAAATAACTGCTGGGGGTGCAGGAGTCTGATTTTAACTGAGAAAATGTTGTGGAAGAAAGAGTTAACCTCCTAATAGACCTGACTGCATTCATTCAAGGTTGCTATTATTATTATTATTATTATTATTATTATTATTATTGAAATATCCCACATCATATCCATCTGGGTCCTTGGATGAATTGTTGTCACAAGTAACATGTTAAAAGATATGACAAATAAATTTATAATCTCATTTGATGCTTTGTCCTTAGACACAGATTTGAACCATGATTTCTTCCTTGGCTGGTTGATATTATGGCCAGGGTGTTCAATTTGGGCCTGTGAGGGCCTGTGGCTTCAAAACCCTGCTCAGCCATGAAGTTTATTTGATAGCCTTGGGCAGATTATGGTCTCCTTAACCCACCTCACAGGGTTGTTGTGTATATAAAACAGGATTATCTCATGCCTGCCACCCTGGGCTCCTTAGAGAAAGAGATAGGATGCAAACAGAATTAACAAATAATATTGCTTGCTTGGTGAAACTGATTGCAGGAATTGCAGGAATGTTACGAGACCTTAGCTTTGGTTAGATTTTGCCCATAATCTGTTGCTTGCTACAGATCAAGCTTTGCATTTCCTGCGCCTGTAATTAGAATGAAATGGCACATTGCACTGAACATGCAGTTGATTTAAGAATAGTCTTCTCCAGCTTTGCAACCTGAATTAAGGACACTTAGAAGCAACTTATTCCAGACCCAAAAGTGTTCTCAAGACATTTGTAAAAAGCCTTATGCATGGTCAAGACACTGAATGCCAAAATTATTCCCTCCTCCCCGCCTTAGATCAGCCTCTGGCTTGTTTGCCATTAATTTCAAGTGGGAATGGCAAAGTCAAGAATTTGGTGGAATAATTGGTTGGTATCCAGTGACGTAGTTCTGTTCACACAGGGATTTCCATTGCACAATGGACTTTTCTCTTCTCGGATCTGCTCTGGAGGGCTGGGAGAAACTCCAGAACAGATTTAGGGTCTGTATGGGGTGGGGGACAAAGGAGGAGAGGGAGATGAAGTTCCATTGCACAGCCAGAAGTCCTTGTGCTAAGGGAACTGCTTCGTTGGTTACCATTCACTGCAACTGAAACAGTGAACCTTGGCTGTAACAAGCACTGTTGTTAATAGCATAAGCTATGAGCTAGAATTCAATCGAATTCCACTTCCAACATGAACCTTCTGGGTGGCCTTTAAAGTGCTGATGCTGTATTGATTAGTTCCATTTACAAAATATTGATCCAATAAAAACTATTTTTATCTGCTCTTTGGTTTTTAACCAGGGCAAATCCTGCTCATAACAAACAAGTCTAATAAAATGGTCCTATCTATCTATCTATCTATCTATCTATCTATCTATCATCTATCTATTTATCTATCTATCTATCTATCTATCTATCTTTAGCCAATTCTGTTATCATTCTTTCTTTACGCGTACATGGGTTGACCGTGGATGCAGGTTTATTTGTTCTAAGTTTTATGGGGAGATCAAGAGGAAGTTTCCACAGAAATCGGAACACTGAAGTGGTGATCTATTTTCCTTTCTATTGCTTTGAATATTGTCTCTTATTTGTCAAGAAATAGTCAATGCAAGGCTATAGCGGGCTGGCAGAGGTAGGGCAAAAAAAAAAGAAAAGAAAAGGGATGCTGCCGTCATTTTCTCAATAGCTTTAAAGGGCAATGGCTATATATTTTACAGGCTGACGTTTTATTATTAATTCATTCCTTCAGACATCTGTGTGCTAGAGCAACTGAGTACCGCAGATGATGTATAGTTGAAGCCACCCTCCTGTAATTATGCCTGAATAATCTAAATGCTGGATTACTGTAACATAATTATAGAGGGCTATTTTGACTATTAGCTCATTAAAAAGCTGTGATGCAAATTGGAATCTTCAAGAGTGTGCGAAAAGGATGACATACGTGTCTGCAGCGGGAGGGGAAATGTCAGCCTTCCTCAATGCTATCTTGCATTTCATTAAAGCGGAGGATGGATAGAGGCCATAAAGGGGCCTTGCCTCGTGTCAGAGCTTTCTTCAATGAAATTGCAGCGCATAGAACTGAGCCTGTCTAACACAGGCACACAGGGAGCTGCCTTATACGGAGTCAGGCCCTTGGTCCACCCAGCTCAATATTGTCTACACGGGCTGGCAGCAGCTTTCTAGGATATGAGACAGGGATGTCGCCCAGCCCTACCTGGAGATACCAGGAACTTGAACTCGGGACCTTCTGCATCCAAAGCAGATGCCCTACCACTGAGCTACAGCACTTCCTTCAAGAATCATAGGCTTGCAGAGTTGGAAGGGAGCCTGCGGGTCATTTAGTCCAACCCCCTGCAAGACAGAGATCCTGCCCACAGCTATCCCTGGACAGGCTCGAACCACCAACCTTCTGGTTAACAGCCGGATGCATCATGCCACCTCCAGGTATGAGTTATATTTCTGCCAGAGCCATTTCCTTGTTGGGTGATCCCACACCAGGCACAGATTATTTTGTATGAAAAAGAGTGAAGCCCATCACTCTCATTGAACCAACATCCATAACCTGTCTGCAACTATTTTTCAATTCCTCAGGTGGGGTCTCAAGCCACTGTTTGAAAACCTAGTCACTAGACCTAGTGGGAAGAATTTTTATATTTGATATTGAAAACTACTATCCTTACACTAGGGCCGACATAAAACGGAGGTTCTCATGGGAGCTAGTCTTATTGGAAGGTTTGCATGGAACTTTCCATTTAAGGTGCTGCCCTGTCTAGAGCTGCAATCCAAGCAGTATTTGCAGGCAAGACCTTTTCTGAATATGTAGCTGAAGTGTGTGTAATGACTGGTGCAATTTGTGCAAAGCCCATAACCTTCTCTTTTTTTGCGGGAAATTCCCTTATTCCAGTGCAGTTTCCCGCAGCTTCCCACTGCTATCCCAGATTGTTAGATATCCCGTAGACTGTCCCTGGGACAGGTGTGGCTGCTGACCCCTTATTTTCAAGGCTGCTGATCCCTTATTTTCAAATCTGAAAGTTGACAGCTATGGCAAAGCCCCTGTTCCTATATCCATGATCTATTGGCACTAAAGGCAGAGGTAGTATTGATTCTCTTCAAAGAACCACTAGGTGGTGCATCCATACTAGAATACAGAGGAGAACAAGGACTATGGAAATAGACTAGTAAAATATGGGTAATTATGTGGCCTCTTTGCATTGGATCAACAGGAGGTGAAACTCGGAAGGCCTATATTCAGAGGCAACTAATACATCAAACCTCTTTCTACAAATGATCAAGCATTAAGGAGGTAAAGTTCAGAGGCTGTAAAAGAAAAGAAAAACTAATACAACTCAATATATTTCCACTTGAACTCAAACATGTCCATGTGCTTGTGTGTGTGGAGGATTATAGCTTTAGTGTACATATTTGGTCAGGATGACTCTGATGGCAACTAAAAAGCAGGTTGTCATACTAAACCCCTCTTTCTTTCTTAGGTCAGTCGTAAGTTTCCTAAAGCATTGCTAAAGATACCAGTATATTTGATGCTCCTCACCTGGTTCCAAATATTATGAGGTTAGGCCAGAAACAGATTTACTACAAGACTAGCTGGTGAAGGCTTGCTGCAGGTGGTGATTGGGGGGGGGGGGGGAATATTCTGCTACTCAGTCATTTCCTCTTTCAAATGTGTGCACCCATAGAGGGAAAGTGCAGTTTTCAAAGGAGAGCTTCAGAATCTGATGGGACAGTGAGTTTAAGGAATCTGGCCAACTCATGGTTTGTAGTTGATCTATTTTCTTAGATTTGCAGAGCAATCCTATACATGTTTATTCAGAGGTTAGCCACACAGAGTTCAATTAGACTTGATCCCAGGAAAGTGTGTGCAAGCCTGCCACCGGAGAGTCCTAATCATGTTAACTCAGAAGTAGGTCCTATGGAATTCATTGGGGCTTACTCACAGGTAACAAATTGCTTTATTTGTCCACTTAGCAGTAACAGAGCAAAGCACTAGAGCTTCAGTTTGTTCATTGAACAACAAGATTGTAGGACTCTCAACAAAATCTTTTAAACCCTAAGGCTTTTACCCAGAATCTGACTTGACTGTGGTGAATGCCAGACATACAACTTTTTTGTTGATGCTTGCTTCTTCATAACATAAGGGAAAATATAATAGATCTTGGCCAAATTGGTCAATAACCTCTTTTATACATTTCTCCTTGGGGTAGGCTTCAATTTTTCTCTATGGATGCTCAACAAACACAATCCAGATGATCGATTTTCACTCAGCACTGAAGGTATCCATACCTTCACCCTGTGCAAAGTGATAAAGGGCTGTTCAGTTGTGCAGTTGGGAAGGAAAGTGCTGTAAGCATAAAGGCTTTTTTAAAATCTCCAGCTAGGATGCATACAGTATTTTTTTCCCCAAAAAAGGGAGATGTTATGCTCTGGAAGTAAACTCACCATGTCTTTGTCAAACAAGGCTTTACATCTACACTGCACATTTAAAGCTCTTCCTTCCCCCAATGACTCCTGGGAACTTTAGTTTGTTCAGAGTGATGGGCATGATAGCTGTGTGAGGGGTGAACTACAATTCCTAGCATTCCTTTGGGGAAGCCATGTGCTTTGACTGCATGGTGCGGATGTGACCCAAGCCTGGGAGGAAACTGCTTTCGGTACTTAGTAGCAGACACTTGCTATGAACGGTGCTGATTGTGATAGTGCAAATCATCTTTGTATGTTTGCAGTGTTTTAACGTGTGGTTTCATTTTTAAAGTTTTGATTCCTTTGAAATGAATTATCACATTAAAACATTTTTGAAAAGAGTGGCAAGCCTAGAATCAAGAGTGGAGTTCCTGATAAGCACATCGGTTCACTGGGAGTGCTCTCACAGGTCTGGTGTAGAAGGAATTCAGGAGCCTTGGCACAGTTAAGGAGATACTCAAGCCATAGTGGTATTTGTCTCTGTAGTGAGCAGGGGTAGTTAACACAGAGCCCTCCTGATATAGTTGGAGTCCAGCTCCCATCAGGCCCAGCCAGTATGGCCAAGGCTCAAGGACCGTGTTGGTTACTCCTGGTGTACAGCATTAAGGTATGGCGGGGGACAAGGGGAAGAGAATGAAATTTCTGAATCAACCCAGCAGCCAGTTGCAATTCATTCTGTTTCTTTCCGAACAATATTGGAACACAATCCATGTTAACAGATCATTTGCTGTGGAGTGCATATGCGTCATACAATAATCTGGAAGGGTGACCAAGATAAATGATGTTATTTTAGTGTGTTCAAATAAACATTTATTTTTTGGATGTTGGATGCATCAGTAGGACTACGATGGATACTATCTTAGAAAATAACATCATTTATTATGAACCAGTGACATACTGCAGTGATATTCAGCCATTGGCAAAATAAACTAAAGAACAGAAGATCACAGTGTCTCACTATCTACAAGGTGGAGGGAGGCGCTGAGCTGGGGTGGAAATAAGCAGAGTGGAGTTTGAACTATGTGCCTCCAGTACGCCTGCACAAATTCCAATGATAAACCAAGCTGAATTCAAACCACCACCTATGTCTGCTGGCCCACCAGGTGCTTGATGACCTCTGGGCTTTTGCCATATCAAACAGATGGGGGGGGGGCAGTAGGCTTATTGAGCCCCGAGACAGATCTTCCTTCATGGATTTGATGGGTTACAATTAGTGTAGGCCTGAAATACCCCATTAAATAAAACAACCATAGAGTGGGAGAAAACTCGCTGGGGGATTCTTCAGACGTCCTTGGAGGGGTTCCATTGAAACTACACTGAGATGCCTTCCCGCAGCTTTGCCACCTTTTATGCATCCTGTGACATTGGTTGCAACCTCGGCCTGCTCATCTAAGGTATATCTTGCTCCTTATTTAAATCAACAGGTTAGTAGGCTTTTCTCCTACTGCCAAAGGAACCAAGGGAACTACTGCCCTTCTATGAGCAGCACCTGGGATTTCTAACAGAATTCTCAGCACCCTCATCCATACTCAATTCCCAGATTTCTTTGGAAGAAGCTATAGCAGTCATTTTGGGGTATGCCTAGAGCAGGAGTAACCAACATGGTGCCCTCAACATCTTATTCGACTGCATAATTCCTGACCGTTGGCCATGCTGCCTAGGGCGTTGGAGTCCAACAATATCTGGAGAGCAGAATGCTGACTACCTCTGCTCAAAGCTAGTCAAGGTTGCAACCCAGTTATTATTATCTACGATGCTTGATGAGTCCAAGCTAATTTGTGGAATGATACATGATATTTTGGATTTATCAGTTTTTTAAATTTTATGATGCTGTCCTCTCTTCCAGCAAATCAACCAAAATGCATATTTTTTATTTAGAAATGCCCACACTGAGATTAACATAATTAAATATTTTGTGAGGGTTTTTTTGTATGTGTTTTTTTTAAAGCTGATTAATGCAGAAATGGAAGAGAATGAACTTGTGTGAAACTGACACAATCTGGAAATAGAACGATTCTTCCATTTCTATTACTGTCTTTGGACAATTACCTCCAGTGTGGATAGCCCTGATACTAGCTTTTTGGCAGGTCTAAACCAACTTGTCAAAAAGCACAGCAAGCCTGGAATCCTTCACACAGCCCGTTTTCATAGTAGTCCCGCTGTGTTGTCATTGCACACAGTTACCACTGGAAGCCGTCTGAATCCACTCGTAACTCCCCACCCTCTTTGAAGTCATGCTGAAGTGAGGGCCGACGGAGGGGAGAAGGTTCCAATTTTTAGAAATGGTTATTAAAAACGGCCCTGCTGTTCCCTGGTTTTCCAATAAAACAGCAAGAACATTTGCCTCAGAGGAGTGCTGAGAAACTCAACTTGATAATGTGGTCCAAGACTTCTGTTTGATACTCCTTTAAGTGAAAGTTGAGACGGAGGGGCTGTTTAAGGCCAGCACAGCGACTTTAAAGGACAAACATAATGACTCTTAGGGTGTTTATGTGTACATCTTCTACATGGAACAACAAAATTGAGCAAGATCCCTTTTCCAGTGTTTCAGAATGATAAATCTTTGACATCGATATATAATTTGAGTGCCAGTATTTTATTAACAGCATTGTATGGAGCTATTTGAATGTGTGCTATAGAAACTTCATTTTTTTAAAACAGCAACAACAACCCTCCACCATGTTGGGATTCAAGCCTTTATCAGGAGAAACTGGCCACTCTCCAGGCACCCGGCTTGATCTCCTGTTGACCTCCCTGTCTGCATTCCCCAGCAGGATCCAGGCTAGGTCACGATAGGCGATCCTCCTCAGCGTGAG